CCCCCCCCCGCCCTCGTCCCCCCGGGAGGGGAGGGGATTTCTTGCTGTCTCTCTGGCGAGTGTACACACCCTATAGCAAAGATCTCTCTCTCGGGCCAGCAGGTGGTGTGGTGGTTAAGGGCACTGGACTCCCACATGGCCCATTAGGGTTCAAGTCCTGGACCTGGTGGCTTGCTCTCTCTCTGTCCCTCTCTGGTCAAAATAAAATTAAAAAAAAAAAAAAGGAGAGACGTTGCCACGCTGCCTTCTCATTAAATGAGCCAAAGGAGGCCGGGGACTGTATCGAGTGACTGCTGAGAGGCTGCGTGTGGGAGCCAGGCCCCTCTGCAGGGTGCCACAGTGACACGGGGACGTGGCGTCCTGGGCGCTGCGTCATCATGGCTAACCAGGGCCGAGGCCTCCAGCTCTCCAGTGCCGGCCGGCATCCGGGCACGCTCGCTTCCCTCTCCCCTCCCTCCACGAGAATGGCTTACTGGAAAACAGCTACACAGTGGCAGCCCTTCCAGGGCACTCTGGAGGCCGGCTGTCAGGGCGCCTCGCTCTGCCCTCCCGCTCAGGTCTCGGGCAATAACCACGCGCCTATCTGCACTCAGCCCGCGTCTCTAGCAGTCACCGCAGACCGGGCAGAAGGTGGGGACTGCCCAGGCCCACGCAGGCTCATCGTCCTTATCCTTATCGAGAGCTCTTTACAGAGCCGTTCGTGTCCCGCAGCCGATGGGTGGGTGGGCATTCTGCCGGAAGAGATGCCAGCAGTTTCTCTCCCCACTGGGAGTGGTCCCTGGCCACGCGACTCCGCGGGGGGAGGGGAGCTCATTTCAGCTTTCCTGTCGGCTGAGCTAAGAACACAAAAGGATCTGGTGTTCTGCCCTGCTCCTGTCAAGGACTCTTCCTCATGTACAAATAATTCTCCTCCCTCCGTGTCTCAGGCGTGAAGCTGCAGCGTGCCATGCCGCTGTCCCCACACCCTGCAGCCCTGGCTGCTGCTACTGCCAGGTGCTCCCTGGGGGCAGAGCGCCACACCCTGAGGCAGCACGCCTGGGGGCGCGAGCTTGCTGGCACCCCTGCAGGGGCAGGTCTGTGGAGCGTCTCCCCACTCTCCTCCGACTGATGAGAAGCTAACAAAGCACTGGGACCAGGCCAGCTGTTGGGAGGAGGCGCCCCGGCTGCAGTGGGGGCGGCGGAAGGTCTCGGGGCCGCCTCAGGGCTGCCTCAGGGCCCTGGGCCTGCTGACAGAAGCCCCTGCAGCCCTGCTCGGGGGTCCTCACCACTTGGGGATGTCCCTCCATCACGGAATGGCAGAGCTGCTCCAGGGCTTGCCGGTCCTGCATCAGTCCCAGCTGCTTTTCAGAAACGACCAGCGCGGGGGCCTTCCCGGGGGTCCTCCACAGCTCCTCGAACACCTGCGGGCCAGGGCGGGGCGGGTCAGCTCCTGTGCCGTGGGAGCGGGCCGGGCAGGAGCGGCTTGGGGGTGCGCACCGTGTGGGCCTGGCTGAAGGGCAAGGGCACCCGCTGCACCCAAGGGAGGGCTGGGGACGGTCCCGGCACCCCGAGCTGGTGCGCAACTCCTTCAGCACCAGGCGTGTGAGGACTCGGCCGGCCAGGTACCTCTGTGCCGGGAGTCCCCCGCTGCCACCGTAGGCTGGGGTGGCCCCACCATGTGGCAGCAGGGCCTTCGGGGCGGGGTTATCACAGCAGTCAGGGCCGTGCGGATCTGGGGCCGTGAGCCCCCTGCCGTGTCCCCTCCCACCCAATTAATAACTGAGGGGACTCTAGTGAACAGTGGGCCCACGTGGACTCAGGAGGCGGCCACCGCCCTCCAAGTCCAGCCGCTCGCCCTGCTGGGAAATAAGACTGGGCGGGGCAGGAAAGAACCCCCTAACGGAGACGGTGGGAGATCACTACCCACAGCCATCAGCCCAGGGCCTCTGCGGCCACGTGTACCCCCCACAGGCAGGGCTGGACCCAACGCGCGAGGATAATTAACGGCCAGTGGTCTGTGTTCCTCTTAAAAAATGATGACCACAACTCGCCACGCTGGTTACACTTGGGAAACAGGAAACATCGTAAGGAAGGCCCTTCCCACGGCAGCTGCGTGCCTCACCCCTCCTGCTTTCCTAGTGTAAACCAGAACCGGGTGACAGCTCTGTCAGGCTCCTGCGGGTGCGGCCTTCACCTGATCCTGCAGTCGGCACCCAGCACTCAACAGTCCCCATCACCGCACCGGCCATCCAGCAGCGGGCCGACGGCCGGCCGAAAAAAAAAACCCGGCAGGCGGCCCCCAGCCCTCAACAGCCCCCATCACCGCACCGGCCATCCAGCAGCGGGCCGACGGCAGCCTGCTCCCGGACAGACAGACATTACCACGCCGGCCTCCCGGCAACGGGCCCACGGCAGCCTGCTCCTGGACAGACAGAGCTCTTTGATGACCAGCACCCACTGCAGAGCAAGCCAGGGGAGGACGGCCGAGTCTCAGCAGGGCTCGAAGGTCTCCCCAGTGGGGGGCGAAGCACACCCCAAACGTCTACCATGCTGCGACGTGACGGCACCTGCAGCTCAGCTCTGGGGGCAGGCATGGACGTAGGAGTTCTCCTGTAAGTTCCCACAGGGCGCCCCCACTCAGCCCGGGCTGCTCGGGAACAGCTGGTCCCACGTTTAGAAACGGAAGTGGCAGCCGCGTATGGATGGGGGACCAGGACACGAGGGTGTGCGTGCATGTGTGTGGTTTCTCTCCGACAGGGTCTCATGTCGCACTCCTGCCCCATCTTACCTGCTGGGACCACAGGCACGCACCACCACCCTGGCTCCTTTTTAGACAAAGGCCCTCCTGCCTCGGCTTCCCTGGTGGCCTGGATTACAGACGCGCACCACCGCACCCAGGCCTCCCACGTGGTCCAGGCATCTGAAGCAGTCTTCAGGTGCACGCCACCATAGCTGGGCATGATTTTATTGAATTAACACTTAAACTTGGGGCCAGCAGGTGGCGTAGTGGTTAAGGCACTGGATTCCCACATGAGTGACGGTAGTTCGAGTCCTGGACCTGGCGGCTTGAAAGTCACTTTAGGCGTGTGCGTGTATGTGAGTACGTAAGGGGTTGTCACGTGGCCATCCCCTCTGGGAGTGACTTCTTGCTTTCTGTCTCTCCAGTGAGCACACGAGTCTTACAGCAAAAATCTCTTTCTCAAAAAAAAAAAAAAAGAAGACTTAAACTTTAGAAAAAACCCACTTTTCTATTTATAAAGGCTAACGTGTTTACTGCAACAAATAGGGAAATATAAAAAAATTCCAAGAAATCACCCGTATTCTGATTCCCTCAAGATAACCAGCATGAATGTTTTGGTTTTTCCTTCTCATCTTTTTATTTCTGCTTTGTAATATAATTGTGATCATAACTTACATACGATTTGTGTCTTCTTTTAAAAAAAATCTCTTTACAGAATTTTCTTATATTGGGAACCAGCAGTTAGCGTAATGGCTGTGTCGCTGGACTCCCACGTAGTCGACCGCGGTTCGTGTCCCAGACCTGGCGGCTTAAAACTCACACCGGGCGCGTGTGCGTGTGTGCCCAAGATCCCGAGAGGAGAATGGAGGAGAAGGGATTGCGGCGTGACCATCCCCCCTGGGGGGTGATTTCTCGCTTTCTGTCTCTATGTCTCTTTCTGTCTGTCTGGCGAGTGCACGCGCCCTACAGTGAAAATCTCTCCAAAAAAAAAAAAAAGAATTTTCTTATATTATTATAAAATCAAATACTCATTATCAGATGTACTGATCATAATTCAGTTAAATGGCCCTCTATTGGCAGGGACTGAAACTTGGGGCTGGCCTTTTGTGTATCTGCACAGACCCCTCAGAAAGTTTCTTGCTGAAAATGTTCACATTCAGGAAGAGGCGGAGAGATCTCAAATTCTAGCTCAACACACAAACCACCTACAAGGACTTGCTCATAAAGAATGTACACGGTGGGACCAGCAGTTGACGTAATGGCTGTGTCGCTGGACTCCCATGCAGTCGACCGCAGTTCGAGTCCCGGACCTGGTGGTTTAAACTCACGCCGGGCACGTGTGCGTGCGTGCCCAAGATTCCGAGAGGAGAACGGAGGAGAAGGGATTGCGGTGTGCCCACCCCATCTAGGGGGTGATTTCTCGTTTTCTGTCTCTCTGTCTCTCTCTGGTGAACACGTGCACCCTATAGCAAAAACCTCTCCAAAAAAAAAAAAAAAAAAAAATGAACGAACAAACCAAAACCGTGGGGAAGTTACACAGCAAAAACTGTGGGAAGTTGAGGCAGGACAGCTTGGCCGCTGAGACCGGCTCCTCCCAGTGCAGGCCAGGCAGGAGCGGGCGGAGTCCCGGGCACTCCTGGTCTGTCTGCATGCAGACAGGGCTGATCTCCCAGCCCCTGGAGCTGCTGCAGGCTGACTGGGGTCTGCCTTGGCTGGGGTCTCGTCTGGCTGGGACGCCACAGCTGCTGCTGGATCTGCCTGGGTCAGAGTATCCAGGGTAAGTGGAGTGGTGCTCGGGAGCACCAGCCTACCCTCCAGAAGGAAAAGTGGGTGTTACTAGGACGGGTGCTCCTCCACGCAGAGGCTGGCTGCTCCCGAGAAGGACGGGCAGGTGGGTGGGTACGGAGCAGTGACACGAGGAAGTCCGCTGGCTGAATGCTCGACTCCCAGGGTCAACACATCAGTGCATTAACTTTGTCAACAGCAACGTGGTCACTGGCCCAGACCTGTTCCCGGCCAACACAGTCGACCCCAACTGTCCAATCCTGAGCAATTTCCACTTGAGACAAGGACTGTCCATGCCTGGCGAGAGACCAGCAGGGGGCGCCCTGCCACCCAGCAGGCCCCTTCCAACGCTCTCATGGTGACCTCTGTGGATGCCAGGCCTCACACTGCAGTGTAAATCCTCAGCCTGTCTGTCTGTCTGTCTGACCACACCCAGGGAAGTACTGTCCAAGAGCAATTGTTTTGGGCCACCAGGCCGTGCGGCCGTCCACCCGAGGCGGACGTGCGTAAGGAGGCTTTCTAGCTCGGCGCTGGTCCTGTGTCTGTCATGACCCCCCAAAGTATGGGGCAATGCAGACTGGGAACCCCAGATCACACGCAAGCCCAGGAGTTAGCTCCGACAGACGGGGATGGACTCAGCCTTGGTCTCCCCGGGGACTGGATTCACACGCCCTCTGCCTAACTGCCCCCGACGGTGTCTCCAGCTTCCACAGCTGAAGTGCCTCAAAGGACAGAGTGCGGGCCCCTAGCCTGTCCCTGCCTGCCCTGGGCTGCTAACGTCAGGGTGCAGAGGTCAGCGTGGCAGGGAGAGAGCTACGACAATTAGAGTCCCCTCTTTGGTCAAAAGCAAGTGTACGATTTCATTCTTTTAGAAGGACAGACACTACCCGAAGGCTGAGCGCAGTGAAGTGTGCAAGGAGTCCGCGCCGAGAGAAGCTGGTCCTCTGGAAGCGCTTCAGGCACGACATGTGGCGTTTTCTTCTTATTTTTCTCTTGAGATAGAGATTTTTGCTATAGGGCACGTGTGCTTGCTGGACAGACAGGGACAGAGAGACAGAAAGCGAGAAATCACCCCTCCCAGGGGGATGGCCATGCCACAATCCCTTCTCTTCCATTCTCCTCTTGGAATTTTGGGCACACACACAGACACACACACACACACAGAGAGAGTGTGAGTTTTAAGCCCCTGGGTCTGGGACTCGAACCATAGTCCTGGTTTGAGTTGATGACGTGAGAGTTCAGCGACGTACTGAATGTATGGCATTTTCTACATTAAAAGGTTGGCTGGGGCCAGCAGGTGGCATAATGGTTACGTCACTGGACTCCTCCGTAGTCGACTGTGGATTGAGTCCGGGACCTGCTGGCTTAAAACTCACAGCAGGTGCGCACGTGTGTGTACCTAAGATCCCAGGAGACGGGTTTGCAGTGTGGCCATCATCCCTGCGGGTCGATTTCTCGCTTTCTGTCTCTCTGGCAAGTGCACGTGCCCTATAGCAAAAAATCTCTCTTTTTAAAAACCAAACCAAACCAAACCAAAACGGCCATTTCTCTGTAAGGCAGACCCCGAAGTGGACAAGAGGAGACTGGCTGAAAGGCACGTGAGCGTGTTAAACGTGATTTCCATCTCTACAGAAGCGAGTCCAGCCTGGGCCCACCAGGAACACGCACTGGCTGGTCCCTGGGAGGCGGCGGAGCACCCACATCTGCCTGCAGGGCACACGTGCGGCCCCACGGCACGACGCCTCTCGGGCAGTGTTGGACCAACCGTCTGGGCCTCTGGCTCTAAGAGGCTCGGGAAGCCTGGGACGCCAGTGGGTTGGCCGTGACTCTCAGGGTGTGGGCGTCTGACGAGGCGAGGCTGGCCTTGTCCTCATTGTAGAGAGGGGGTGAGGACTGCCACCCCACTGCAGTCCACAGACAAGGGTCTTAGGCGAGCAACTCGGTGCTCTTCCCCAGCGACCAGGCAGCTGCTCCTGGCAGCTCATCAAGTGTCTGTTACGTTACTGAGAAACGGGGCTGCCTCTGCAGTGACCTCGCGCCGCCCTGGTCCTGCACTCTCAAAGGCGCTGAGAGCCCCCGGGAGAGGGCGCAGCGCAGGGCGTGTGGGGTGGAAAGGACGGGCAGCAGCTGGTGAGACAGGAGCCGGGCAGGCAGCGACGGACAGTCCCGAGCGGAGACTCCGCGGGATCCAGCCTGCTCTCCCCGCCTAGCTGTCATCCTTAGGGGTCTGTCTCAGTCACCTCACCTTCCCTGCTCATCTGCTGGCCATCTCACCACTAAGGGCTAGAGGCAACAGCAGTGGTCAGCAAATCAGAGTCTCTCTGCTCTGTCTCACGGGTTTCTAAAACCCAAGGCACACTCGGACTCTTCTATTAACGTCAGCAGAAATGAACTGCAACGCTTTTTTCTTTTCCTTTGTGAAAAAGGTGCACTATAAAAATAAGGCACACAAAGACGCTCAATGTAATGAATCCTTACGGACATGCAAATCAAATCCACAGTGTGGGGCCATTTCCCACCCACTGGCATGACTGTGAGCAGACAGACAGACAAGAACAGGTGCCGGAGAGGGAGTGGAGAAGGCAGAACTCGTGTCCGCCGCAGGTGGGAGTCTGAGACGGAGCGGCCATTTTGGAAAACAGTTCGGCAGTTGCTCAAATTGTTCAACACAGAATGACCCAGAAATGCCATTCCTACCCAGGAATTTTGAAAACGTGCTCCAACAAGAACTTGCACAGAAATGTTCAAGGCTGTATATTCACGATAGCCAGTAAGTAAAAACAACTCAGATGCCCTTCAGTTGATGAGTGCATGGATAGATGTGGCATGCCCATACGGTGGAATATTACGTAGCCACAACAAGGAATAACGCCACCACATAGATGGACTAACTTTGCAATCATTGCACCAAGTGAAAGAAGCCAGACACAAGAGGCCACACGTGGTAGGAGTCCAATTACAGTAACCGGCTAGCACAGCGAATGCACAGAGACAACACAGACTCGCGGTCCCGTGGGGTTAATGGGAGTGACGGGTGTGGGGTTTCTCTGGGTAACGGGAGTGTTCTGGGCTGGACGGGGTGACGGCTGTGCAACTCTGTGAATATACTAAAACCAATGCACGGTACACTCAGAACATAACATAACAAGGACACGACACTCTCTTCTTCTGTTCAAAGTCTGCATCTCTCTAACCTCATGTCTCTAAACTCTAACCCATCTGTCTGTGCTTCTTCCTCCTCTTTTTTATTTATTTATTTTTTAAATAATTTTGCTAGAGGGTACATGTGCTCGCCAGAGAGACCGAAGAGGGAGAAAACATCACCCAATGGGCATGGTCACACTGCAATTCCTTCTCTTCCATCTCTCCTCCTTTAGAAATGCTCGGCACACACGCACACAGGCCCCGTGTGTCTTGAGCTGCAGGGCCTGGGAACTGAACTGCACAGGAAGCCATGTGGGACTCAGCTCCCTAACCACTAGACCATGAGCTGGCCCGGTCTGTCCTTTTAACTGTACAATGTATATACATGGACAGATGCCTGGAATTATGGTCACCTATTAATGACACTTGTTTCAAGGTGGTCAAATTTGAGTATCTACATTTTTTGACATTAAAATATTTTTTAAAGAATTATTAATTTAACTTATTATTATTATTTGCCAGAGAAAGACAGAGAATGAGAAAGAGGGGAAATAAAATAAGCCACCAGGTCTGGGACTCGAACTGGGTTGGCCATGTGTGGGAATACACAGTACCTTAACCACACCACCTGCTGACCACCTACATTAAATTCTTTATAATGAACGTATATTATTTCCCCCTAAAAAAACCAGAGCTTTTCTTAAACACAGAAAACAAAAAGTAGAAAATCAAAAATCAGAAACCGTGGGCGACGATACATTGGGGGGCCCCTCAGGTAGCAAACTCCGAATATCTTTCTAACCAGGCTTTGGTTCAGTCCGGCTGCCTCACTGAAGGCGGGGCTCACCCGCCCCCTTTAACCTGGGTGTGGATAAAATCCCGAAGCGTCACTGTACTGACTGAGCCCAGCTCTTTCCACTCCTTCCCTCTTACTCATTGCACTGGGCTTTTTGTTCTTTGTGTGTGTGGGGGGGCAGGACGGGTGGGAAGAAGGGGAAGATTTCCCGCTTTCGTTTCAAATGCTACGATTCATCTGCTGTTATGCGTGTGTGTGTTAATACCTGACTTTCTCTGCCCCGGCCACCCAGTCCTCCTACGGCTGCTGAGACTGTCAGAAACATTTGTACTCCTCATGTCTAGGCAGCCAACCCTCCCTAACGTGGCGAGGTCCGGCGTTGCCAGCCTCGCTGGGGGTGGGTAAACAGGGCCTCGGGGCTCCCACCTCCAGGTCCACCGCACAGAGCCTGGTGCTCCATCTCCTGGCTCCGCGGTGCCTCTTAATTAGCCGAAAGCGGCCCCTCTCCCAGAGCCTCACTCTAACCCGCCACTGCTGTGGGCGCGCATGAACCTTAAATGCACAGCGACGGTTCAAACGGCACCGCGTTCCTGCCGGAGCTCTGACAGCTGCAGTCTCTCAGGGGAGACGAGACAGTGGCCCTGGCACCCGCACCTTTCTGGGCACCCGTGTGAGTTTTCTGGACCCCAGGAGTCGGCCCCCTGCCCAGCACTGTCAGGTGCAGGGAGAGGTGGAGGTGAGGCAGTGCCACCTCCAGGATGCTCTTCCCGTCTTCACCACCAGGGCGCGTGTGGAATGGCATCTCCATGTGCGGCGGCCTGCCCTCAACCTCCAGGCAGAGGGCAACCAGGTGACAGGGACAGAGGTGGCCCTGGGGCTGGCTGGGAGGCCTTGGGGGAGTCGCGAAGAGCATCAGCAGGCTGCCTGACAGGGGGACACTGCCGCCGTCCGCTGCCCCCTGAGCTGCAGGGTCCACCTCTTACATAAACGGTGTTTAAGCGGGAACATTCTGGAACAACCCAAACAGATCTACTGCCCGCCTCGCACACGTCGGCTGTGCGTCTCTGCTGAGCGAACCGTTTCTCCTTCGTGCATAAAGCCCTCTCCATGAGCACTTCATGCCCCCGTTATGAAACCCACTTCACCTCCACAGAAAACATGGGTTGGGACGGCGAAGCGGGCGGGAACGTCAGGAGGTGTGGCCGTACCTGTTTAGCTGCGGCTGAAGAAACTGCCTTACTGTCCAGCAGGTCCAGAAGCTCGGCGAGCGCAGAGGGTGTGACAGGACTAGCGGCCCCAGGAGGAGAGAAGACACGTTTGTGGTCAGGGATCCGTCCGTGGGATTCCGGATCCGGACGCTCCATCCGTGGGTCCCCACGATCAGAGCCCACCCAGAGATGGACCCCGAGGCCACCTGCATCCTGCTTCATCACTGCGTGGTCTAGAACGTTACACTCTCCTGCCATGAGGTGTCTGTTCTGTGTGTTACCTCGGACCGCACAGCTGCTTGGCAGAGGCCACAGCACCAGACAGCGGCTTGGGGCAATTACTCAAAAAAAAAGGACGCGGCTGCAAAATTCATGAACCACAACGAGAAAGGGGAAAAAAAATCCAGCAATTAAATAGTTTTGACTGAAAGATCAGCCTAAAAATTGCTTCAAACAAAACGTCTAGCTGAGTCCCTTTGCTGAGTGGTTCTGTCCACACACGGATGCCTTTTAATTTTAAGAGACTTTCTGAAAAAGAGCCCAGTGACTTCGGCACGTCTTCCCCCACCTCCCTAGGCCCTCCAAGGGCCCACTTCTTCCAGTCCCTGCCAGCTCTTTCCGGATCACAGCTGCATCTCCAGCTTGGGTTCCAAGGGGGACACCCTGGCACGCCGATGACCAATCTCCACCTCCCTGCCCAGCACTCCCCAGTGAAATGTGCTCCCTCGTTCCTTGTAAACTGTCAGGAGGAGTGTGCCCTTGCCTGAAGGAGACGGAGACAGGGAGAGCCCCCAGGGCGCATGGGCACACCATAACCCCGTCTTCACGTCTCCATCCTGCTGGGACTCTGGGTACCTCCTGGAGTATCTCTCAAGCTGCCGGGGCCGAGATTTAAACCATGGGTCAGTCATGTGGGATCAGGCTTCCTTACCACTAGGCCACAGAGCTGGACACTTTTAGTCCCTGGGTCCAAAGTCCACTTTCTCTGCTTCTCTCAAAACGGGACACAGACGCTCCTGGAGGAGGACGCTGGGACCTGGGCTCCAGGTGGCACCTGCTGCTGACCCTTCTGTTCACCTAGACATCTGGGTGCCCACCAGGCAACTGTCCTAGACAGCCTGCGGCCCACCGCCTCCTCAGCACGTGGCACCACCTCTTGTGTCCCGAGGACACCTGCTGAGGCAGGCTCAGAATGTCCCAGGGTGCTCTTCTCCTCTTCCGCAACACACCCCTCCCCCAGGCTCTTCACCGAGACTCTCGAGGCTACGGGGCCTTCTGAAATGCCACGTCCACTTCCTGCGGCCTCACGTCGCACCCTTGCACATACCAGGGATTCCCTGTCCTCTATGTCTGGGGTCTAGGGTCACTCGCTGTGGCCTGGTTTCCTACCAACAAAGACCTAGCAGCGGTCCAGCCTGGGGCACAGTCCACAGCACACCTGACTGCAGTGCTGGAAGCCACGTGGCCGACACTGGGTTCAATCCCCAGGCTGGCCTGAAGACACTGCGTGCGTGTACGGGCACCCGAAATTCCAAGGAGCTGGAGTGGTGGGGGGAGCGGATCACGTGACGGGACCCTGCCCGAGGTGCTTCTTTCTCTCTTCCTCTCCTGCATGCAGGTGCACGCACTGTCAAAAACACCTCGAACACCAGCGGTTACCTCCCTCTGTGTACACACGCCATTCAGAATCCACCCCTGCCCCCTACGAAGCTCCTCCCTCAAAGCCCACCCCTAGCCATGGCTGCCATGAGAGCGTTGCGCCTGCCGTGCCTGGCCCTGGCCCCGGCTGCTGCGCGGGAAGCCCTTAGAGAAAGCTCTCCTTGGCCGTCTCCCCCAGGCCCGCTCTGCTCGGAGGCTCTCTTCCTGGGGCCCCTGCCTTCCCCTCTGTAAGGGGGTGCACATCTGTCCCGGAGCTACCCAGATGCTTCAGTGCCACTTTTCCCTACCCCTAAATTCAACCGTCCCCCACTCCTGCCAGAGGTCCCGCTCCCCCAGCCGTGTGGTCTACGCTGGGCAGCAAACTTCCGGAAAGACCCAGGTGGCGGACAGTCAAGGACAGTAGGACACTGTGGTCTCTGCCACATATTATTCTTGATTTTGCTTTTGTACTAAGAGGCCAGCCAGGGCCCGCCAGTGGTGTGGTGGTGAAGGTAGCTGGATCCCTCGTGGACAGTTATGAGGTTCAAGTTCTGCACCCATGGCTTAAAACCCTGCTGGACCCGTGTGCATACGTGCCCAAACCCTGAGAGGGGAATGGAGGAGAGGGACTGCCGTGGCCACTCCCGGGGTGCTTTCTCACTTCCCTCTCTCTCTGGTGAGTGTGCACACCCAACAGCAAATTAAAATAAATACTAATGTATGCACGTATGTAAAAACCGTTCTTACTCACAGGCCATGGGCCCCCACACGGTGGTTTGCCAACCCTCGCTCTAAACCAAACTTTCCTTCCCGGAGACCAGCGCCCGGTCCTGTCATCTCAGACCTGTTCTGTCCCGACTGACGGCGGCTCGGTGCGTCTGGCTGCCTGGCGTGAAGCCCCTGCTGTCTGCTTTATTCGCTGCCTGCCCCCCGGGAACCCAGTCCGTCATCATGAAGCCCTAGCGTCCCCTCAGAACCCTGACGATGAGCGCCTCTTCCCCTGCATTCCTGAGGCCGCCATTCTGACACCGCTGTCACTCGGCCCAGTCTCCCCTGCAGCCTGATCCTGGCTGCCGTCCACACATCCCAGGGCCGATCACCGTCACCCACCCGGCCCTTCTCGGTCCCAAGCCTTCCCTGGTTTCCAGCGTGCAGGCTGGCTGCAGGCTGGGGCACTCTGCTGCACTCCGCCGGACAGCTGGACAGCTACAGCTGCCTGACCCTACCACCCAGGCCCCGCCAGGGAGTCCACAGTTTCCACTTAACAAAAACAAATCTCTTCATAGGAGTTTAGAGTGAGGTTCTAACCAGAAAACACTCCCTCTTCAAAACAACAACAACAAAAACCCACCAAAGGCACAACTTCCAAAGCAACAAAATAACTCAAAAGCCAGATTCCACAAGAGCTTCATCTGGCTGGACCTCCCAAGAGGCCTTTAAAATGATGGCCGACTTGCCAAGTCTACCCGCCGCTCTGCTCTCTGGGCCGGTCCTTACCTGGGAGTCACTCTGGGACCACAGGGAGGTTTGCAGCTCCCACCCGTCTGGGTTGGGAAGTGCCAGCCCTGGTGGCTGGGGCTGCCCGGGAGTGCGTGCTTGCTCTGTGCTGGGCTCTGCCCGGCCACCAGCAGCGCCCGGGACTGTGTGGGAGCAGGGCCGCTCCAGCCCAGCGCTGGCTCCCAAGGCCTGCTCCATGGACTCCGTGAAACTGAGCTGCCACTTGGCTCCCTCGTCGTTTGATTTTGGAGTCCCCAGGCAGACTTTACTAAGCACTGAGCACCCTTTGGTCCACTCCAGTGGCCCCTGGATCCTCGGGGTGACCACCAGGGGCCCCGTGTCCCAGGTTCACCAGCCTTGAGAAGCTTCCCATATGGCGGTGAGGCAGATCCTGACTTCACAGACTCACCGGGGAGAAAGTGAGTTGGAAGTCCGGGGCCCTGGCTTCCCACCTCGGCACTGGGGCCCCTCGGGTAAGTCACCTTCCCTTAGTGCCCTGGGTCCTTACTTGCTGAATGAAGGGGCTGAACCAGAACACATCTTAAGGTCTCTTCCAAGACTGAAGTT